ATATATATATATATATATATATATATATATATATATATATATATATATATATATATATATATATATATATATATAGTATGAATATTTAGTACATCTACCTATGCAGGTTATATCGTAAATGTATGTACATATGTACTGATTAATGATTAAAAGGCCAACCAACAATTTCAACTCTGCGGGGCAGCATTTGGAAAACTGCACTACATCTTTTTACAAACGACAAATGCATGCAAAATATCTCACAAGTTTGAAAACGAAGATCTTTAACCAATGCATGTTGCCAATGATGACCTATGAAACCGAAACATGGCCCTACACGGTTACCCCTATGCAAAACGTATGCAAAAACTACAAGTTACTTAGCGAGCTATGGAAAGGCAAAAGAAGTGAACGACATAGCTTTTTTTTTTTATTTTTTACAACACAAGGGGCAAACGAGCGTGCACCTCACCTGATAGTAAGTGACTATCGCCGCCCATGATCACCCACAACACCAACGGCATTGCAGGTGTGCTGCCGGCCTTTTAAAAAAGGAATATGCTCTTTTCTTGAAGGTTATGATGTCGTATCGGTTCGGAAATACTGCTGCTGGAAATTGATTCCAAAGAGTGGTTGTGCGTGGGAGAAAGCTCGAAGGAAAAGCAAGCTGAAGTGGCATTGGGCTGGTCACATAGCTCAAAAAACCGACAACCAATTGGGAAAATGTAGCATTGTTAGCAATGTAGAACGACCTTCCACTAGATGGAGTGATGACCTCAAACACATTGCAGGGAGTCGAAGGATGAAAGTGACTCAAGACCGTTCCTTATGGCAGTCTATGTGGGAGGTCTATGTTCAGCAGTGGACGTATAACGACTGTTATGAGATAAATATGATGAGTATGATGATTTACACAAGTGAAGACGCGGGATACACCTAGTATAGTTATATAATGCTTTAGTTAGTTCGCCTTCGTTACAGTTTTATAATAGTCTACGTTTACACTACCGCGTCTAGTGAGTCAGACGGGTTTATGACGTAAATGCTTTCAACATATTTACTCTTCCATATCTGTTTTGTATCGAGGAATTAACGTACAAAATATCAAGTATAAATATTTACGTACAATATAAACTATTGTACAGAATACGTATAAACGTTTACATCAGTAGTTCCTAAATTATTGTTATTTTCACGGGTAGTTTTACATTTTATTTTTGGTATCGAAAAATTATATAAAATATTTCTCTTAAATTAGTCCATAGAGTGTCTTAAAAATATTTAATATACTTTTAATTTAACAAAACGAAACGTTCGATTTTCAAATTAAATAAAAATAATGTTAACAGTTTAACATTTAAAAATAGAACTGTTTCTTAAAGCCTCAACACAATAATGCCAACGTAGATAACAACGGATAAGTAAAATAAAAATTGTTAACATCCTCATTCGAGGCGCAATAATAAATCATTACATTCTGGGCCAAGCGTGACGCACGAGAGCTACATATTACTTCTATCCAGATACGGTATTGGGTGGGCCTGTTCTATTCGAGACCCTATCATTCATAGTTATTGATGATACCCATACAAATAACACTTGAGGCCATTTTGTTGGAAACCCCGCGAAGATGGCGGTGTCGATTTTCCTTAATGTTATTCCACTAATATTTTGCCATCGATCTCGTCGTGAGTTGCTGATAATGTCCTTTACGCAGCTCAAATTTAGTATTCATTAATTTATAAAACTCTAAATGTATATAAATATAAATCAATTGCCAAATAATAACTAAAAATACCAGCTACCAGCTGGCAGTGATCTTAAGGAAATTTTTTACCTTTAACTATTTAAATTTTATTCCATTATAATCAAACCTAATTAGTTATTTTATGTGTAATTAGATTCGAAATAAAGCCAACTCTTTGAGAGGTTTTAATAAGTCAATACGTCAAACTAAATATATCTTTTCAGAATGACTACACTATTTTTTTTTTGATTGCGTTTATAATTATCAAAACAAACCTTATTCTGATAATGATAATGATAGTACACCCGTGTGAAGCCGGAGCAAGCAGCTAGTAAAATATACATATACATACTTCTACATTCACAGACAGAGAAGTACAAAGTAGGTAATATTACTAATATTTGCCATCAAGAGAGAATTAATTACGAATGTGATGTAAATAAAAAAAAATTGATGGGATTTAGATTTGAAAGCGTGTTTATTTTAAAGGTTCATTACATGAAATGAAAGCCCAAATACATCAATGTTTGTTCAAGTTAATCAAGAATGTTTAAACAAATAAGGGAAGTGTTTTATTTATAGATAAAAGTTTTTTTTTTTATTTAATTTAGAATGGCAAACAAGCTGACGGCCCACCTGATGGAAAGTGGTAACCGTCGCCTATAGACATGAACAGTACCATGGACACAACAGAGTATACTGTTTCGCCCATGATACCCCCCACACGTTGCCATTTCTGAGGATTTAGGTGTTATTCCTCTGTACCTAGTAAATTCACGCCATATTCCACCCTTCAAACCGAAACACAGCCATGCAAACACAACTGCTTTACGGTTGAAACACGGATGGGACAGAGGTACCCAAGCAATCGACTTTTGTACAAAGTCTCCCTCTAGTTATGAATATGTTTGCAATGTTATATTAGATACACAAGATTTTGCCAGTACTTACTACACTTGACAGGCAGATTGGCTACCACAGTTAGGCTTTGGTGATGTTTTAAGGCGAACGCTGTTGCCCATCCCTCGACCAGTATTACCATAGACAATTATATAGTCTATGATATTACTATATACTCGTATATTCTGGACTGCGGTAACACTACACTAAATAACACTGTTTCGAAGAAAAAAAATTGCCCCATAAAAAAACAACCTGTTTTTTTTTTATCAAACACTAATCAAACAGTCGTGTAAATAAAGCAAGTCAAATGAGTGGCAACCCTATCGTGACAGTTGGTAGTGAAGTGAACGCTAACTGCACTAGTGCGTACGCTGCGCAATCAACGGTGGAATGTTTGTTTTGCTTGCTAATTGTGCATTTGTTGTGTGCAGCTGTCCTGGCAGGGCTTATGTTTATTTGATTCATGTGTAGTGTTGTGATTGTTTGTATTTTATTAAACTCATACACTCTTTTTTTTTATCACTTCACGTGATTTTGTTGAAACCTCTAGTTTTAATATCAGAGATGACGTAACGTATTACATTAATGTCAAAATTTTTATAAATCGAATTTTAAATTCGTTTAAACCTTGCATTCCTTGTATAAAGCCCCAGATGCAGAAAGAGGATGTGATGTAAATTTAAAGCGTCTATGTATCTGTATGTCTGGCTGTGTGTGTTAACGAATGGACCGATTATGATGCTGTTTGTTGTTTCAAAGTTATTCAAAGTTTTACGTGATCGAAATGGTTCTTAACCTACAATTTATGAAAATCTATTCAAGCGTTTCAAGGGTTATTTAATTGTTTTAATTTCATTTATTGTTTTTTTTTTTTGCATTGTACACAAATAATAGACAAAGAAAACATTGTAAACCTTTTTTATTTATGTTATATTATGCCTGTTATCACACTAGTATTTTTTATATTTATGTATAAAATATCATATGTATTTAGGATCAGGATTCCTCTGCATATGAAATTTAATAAATGAAATATCTTGAGTTTTGTCACAAACATTTATATTTATAATTCAAAATATATTTGGCATTGAGTGCTTTGTTACTTTGTCTCGTTTAATGAAAAAAAAATCACGAAGTGCCAGTGACGCGGTGCGTTTTATCTGTCTCGATTGAAATCCGAGGCACGGACAGGTATGGACGAAGAATGCCTGCCCCCTCCTCCCTTCCAGGGGATTCCAGAATAAATGAAATTCTATATTAATGCAATAACTCAGAAACACGTGGACTAATGGAATATCTCAAATGTATTCTTGGTATTCAGCTGTAGGCATTGACGAAATTGCTCAATGCCAATCCGCTTTTTCTGTCGTCGTAAAATATAAGTACCTAGTTTGTATCAAAAGAGAAATGGAGTAAGTAATTTTAACTAAATAATTGGATTTAATAACAAAATCAAAAACATAGTAGTAAAAAAAGTGAAAAGTAAAAAAAAAGATAATTGGTCTTAACCAAGCGAAGCCCCATTTTCTTTTGTAATAATGAATTCGTCTAATTAATAATAATAATTTAAGTAATAAATATTACAAACATGTTAAACAGAGGTTAATGTATAAACAAAAATATGCCACCAAAACTTAAAATAATATCCATTAATATAACCTATATTTATTCCGTATTAAAATAATACAAAAAAAAAAACAAATATCAATAAACATAATATTAAAACATTACCTTTTGAATACGGTTGTGCATATGTTTTATTTCCTTTGCCTCATCATTTCGGCTATGACTGCTACAACACAAAGAAAGAGTAATTTGGCGGGAATTCATTTCAGTAATTCACTGGCCCGCGTTACTACAAATAAAAATGTATATATAAATTCTATGTAACCAGTTCATTAAATTTGAAAATTTTACGCTAATAAGTTGATAAGTCTCTTATGATACCTATGATGTCGATATGTTGGATAGAGATATACCTCTGTCCAATATAGTGTATAATATATTCATTTATTTTATTGTGTTGATACCTCTAGGTTGCATAGATTAACTGTCAAAGTTTCGTCTACATAAGGACAGTGCCGACTCTTAAATGACTTATTGATTTACTTTATGCTTATTATTCATATTATCTTTATGCATATTCAGACAGTTTAATTAAATTACTAGTTGCAAATAATATATTTTAATAATATTAAGACATAATGTTTTAATTTAAGAGATAACCCTAAGTTTAGCCATGTTATCGGAAGCTTACACTATAGTATTAAATGTACGCCGATTTCCCATATAATTAACCTTGATCATGTTTCAAATATCAAAATATATGTTATTTTTAAATTAAACTAACAGAAGCTATCTTTTGTTGCAGGGTGAAAAAGACAATGGGAAAAATTGTATACTTTCATGCGAGAAGAGAAAAGCGGACGACACCGATATCAACAAGGACTTAAAAAAGGTATGTAGCCATGTTTTCATTTTTAAACGCATTCGAAATTTGAATTTTACGCCATTATTATCATAACCAAATACTAGAATAACAATAATTTCAAAATTTATAACGATACTCGAGTTTTTATCGATTGCTCTTTTATTAATATAACCATAATATAGTAGCTAGAATAGAAAGCCATTCATAAAATGTAAGTATATAATATTTTTGCGTCTTTAATTTATCGCAATGACTTGTTTTAATTGTAAACAACAAAATATGAGCAATTAAAAACTGTAAAGTCGTTTGAAAAGAAATATACGTAAGGAAAATTTCATGCATAATTTAATATTTTTATTTACAATCATTGTTACAAGCATTGTTATCTACCAAATTTTACATGAATTATATTGAAATCTCACACCACCATTCGTGAGGAATAACAATAAACAACTTCTTAACTAGAACACAACTTGTCCAACGCTGCACAGCCGTCGAACAAGTTTTTTGGAACCCTCCAAGTTCTTTGCCACCCTTCGCAAGGGTGAAAACAATGTCACCACAGATAAAATAAACGAATACAAGAATACTATATTCTTGTCACGACAAATGGTGGCACGACACGGCCAAAATTAATATAATATTTTGCACCACAAGAAGCAGTGAACTTTGTAATGATAAATTAATATTACATTAATAGTAGTAAGCCCTATTGATTGTAAAAGGAATTATCAAAATCGGTTTAAATTTGTTTAGTGAAAATAATGCAGAGATACAAAAAATAATATGGAAAATTATAATTTTGGTAGTCACTAAGTAAGTAATATATATTGTATGAAATTTCGTATTATATTATAAAATTGTACTAGACGATGTCTTCACATAAGAAATATTTAAATAAAATATATATATATATATATATATATATATATATATATATATATATATATATATATATATATATATATATATATATATATATATGCTGTATATATATAAGCGTTCAAGATGACCCACGTTCAGGACGTCCTTCCACTTCACATTCCGACGAAAACGTGGAAAGACAGTTGATGGAAAATTCTACGTCGATGTGCTCAGACGCCTTAAAGCTCGTGTGGCACGAGTTCGTCCAGAATTGGCGCGAGAGGGGCGTTGGATTCTTCACCACGACAATGCCCCTGCCCACACCTCTCTTGTTGTCCGTGAGTTTTTGAGTAAAAATTCCATTACGGTGACCGAACACCCCCCCTATTCGCCGGATTTGGCCCCGTGTGACTTCTTCTTGTTCCCAAAAACCAAATTGGTACTTCGGGGGCGGCATTTGGGGGACATAAATGAGATAAAAAAAGCTACGACGGGGCAGCTGAGAAACCTACAACCAGAGGACTTTCAAGGAGCCTTCTCACAGTGGAAACGGCGTTGGCACAAGTGCATTATGTCACAGGGGGAGTACTTTGAAGGGGATAAAATTGATTTACCTGAATAATTGTAAAATAAAATTTTTATATACGTACTTTCCGGACAAACCTCGTATGTGTATATATATAAGAGGAACAAAATCAAAAAAAATCATTTTTAAAATTTTTGTCTAGCAAAAATTACTAAACTGAATGCTCTTTTCACAGTTGTATTTCTGAAGGTCATACTTGAAATCTGGTGTGTCTTATATACGCCATCTAGAAGTGACCATCTACTTCCGAAATACACGCATACAAAGTAACGGGAAAAAGCTAGTGAGATTTCACTCACTATATGTATGTCCTCTATTATTCTAAGCCTTATGTAGTTTCTTACCAAAACATCGCACTATGGTTTGTCTATGAAATATTTCGGTTGTCTGAACACTGAAATATTATTCAGTCTGTGGCAGTGCTAACTCGACGTTAAACCGCTAACTGCACTAGAACTATCAGTATGATATTGATTTAACCATATTCCAAGGTCGCTGCGGCGCTAAAGCGGCACTGCAATGTAACACGTTAATGATCCCTAAAGAACTCAGCAATTTTTTATAAATGGAATATTTTATAATACAATATAAATATGGGGCCAATATATATATATATATATATATATATATATATATATATATATATATATATATATATATATATATATATATATATATATATATATATATATATATACAAACACATAGACGGTAATCTTTTATTATACAACTTAGAATGATAAACACGCTGACGGCCAACCTGATGGAAATGTGGTAACCGTCGCCTATGAACATGAGCAGTACCATGGACATAACAGAGTATACTATTTTGCCCATGATACCCCCCATGCGTTACTATTCCTGAGGACTCAGGTGTTATTCCTCTGTACCCTGTAAATTCATGTAAACACAACTGCTTCACTGTAGAAACACGAAAGGGACAGAGGTGCTCAAGCAAACGAATTTTGTACAGTCTCTCTCTGGTTGTACAAAGTCTACCTCTGGTAAAATATATGTTTATATATGTATTATACTCATATATCGTCCATGTTATTGTTATTGTCATTAATCGCTGTGTTTGTGTTTCAATGTATCGTATCATTTTCTTGAAGGCTTTATACTACAGATGTCTAGTACTTAACCTACTTTATACAAGTCTTTACTAATATTATAAATGTGAAAGTGAGTTTGTTTGTTTGTTATCTTATAGCGCCTTGACGGCTTAACCAATCACTATGAAATTTGGTATACAAGAAATATCCCATATATTATGTGTATACCAAAATGAAAAAGAATAGGCTACTTTTAATTAAAATTTTCTTTTCTGTCAATAAACATATTGTTTATAAATATATACCGTTCTTTTTTTTATAATATTATGTATAAATTATATTAAATTTGAATAAAAGAGCCGTCTGTTGACTCGATATATTATATTTTATTATTATTCAGTTTTTTTTAATTTTTTTTTATTAAAAACTGTATTTATCAATTTCTATGGAGGTTAATTTTGAATTCATATACCAGTCACGCGGACAAAGGCAATAGTGAAACCTTATAATGCTATAAATGCAAAAATTTGTAAGGATTCCTCCTTAGAAATGGTTGAATGATTTGGATATTTCTTACTCTTCTACTTAAAAACTAATTAAACAACTTTAAACAAAATTTGTGACACGGGTAGATTATAATCTAACTTACCACATAAGATAATGCCGCGGAATATCGTTTGATACTTTATACACTAATTCACGCGGGCAAAGTTGCGGGATACAGCTAATATAAAAATACTTGTTTTTATTCTAAGTAGGCTGACTACAGTAGATATGTCACTTCCGAATTCCAATAGTACATTACAATATTCCCAATATCAACAACTTGTCTATTGCCTACTTGAACGAAGCGATTTAGTTTTTTTTCGATCATATTGTTGTGTTCAAACAATAAGTTATTACGCCTTCGATAGCTATTTACTAGTAAATCCTACATCTAATCTCGTTTATTGGTAGTAATAAATATGAATATATGAGTTATAGTTAATAAAGACGTGAACAGATTTGCGTGTACATTAAGGTCACCACAAGATATAGGCCATGATCACGCGACGCCATCGCTTTGTAATATTACAGAACTGATAGGTAACGTTCGAACTTCAGCGATTTGGTGAATCGTTAGAACCTAAATGAGTTTGGATATGAAAGGGAAATTTTTGCAAAGCATAGAAATGGCTAAGTAAATATTATATATACTAGTTATAGTAAATATATTTTCGTAAACCTATACAAAAATTTGTAGATACAGTTCATAATTTCCCCTTGAACGTTTTGGAATTAGACCTTTTAATAAGAGTAACAGACTCTACAGATGTCACTCTCCGAATTGTAAGACTTTCATTTTAAGAAATAAACTTTATTCGTGTACAGATAGGTAAATATATCTTCTAAACTTTTCTAAAGATAGAAACAGTATACTACGACTTTTACTACGTGAATTAGTATATATTTTTTATACTACTTAGAATGGCAAACAAGCTGACGGCCCACCTGATGGAAAATGGTAACCGTCGTCTATAGACATGAGCAGTACCATGGACATAACAGATTGTACTGTTTCGCCCATGATACCCCCCATGCGTTGCCATTCCTGAGGACTCAGGTGTTATTCCTCTGTACCCAGTAAACTTAGTATATAAAGTCTTCAATGTGGTAATTTAGAAAATAACCTACCCGTCTTCCAAATTTCATTCAACTCCGTTCAACTATTTAAACGTAATTGAGTAACAATCATACAAATTTCTTGATACACACATTTATAATATTATTAGGATATATATAATAACATGATAAATACATAGACGTTTTCAAATCATCATCATCGTATCAGTCGTTAACTGAACATAGATCCCCCCCCCCCCCATATAGAGGATTTTTCTAGTAGTTACCACGCTTGGCAGGCGGGTTGGCAATCGTAATTAAGCTTTTGTTGCCACTGTTACTCATCTATCGTCCATTAAGTTTCCTTAATCGCCTCTTACGATACGGCCCATTCTATGTCGAAATCACACGGCGAGGTTTTCAAATTTTCTCATGTTTTTACCAGTATCTTATATAACATTAAATTAATGAAATTGATATTAATAACATACAGTAATTAACGTCCCAGTGAGAGTACATCAATTTACACAAAATGACAACATGCTATCGAATTACGGTTTTCATATTAGTGCTATTTATTATTAATTAACATGTCTAGTTGTTAATGAATTTGATTTGTGGTTAGATACATAATATTATTTGCCTTGATTTTGTGTTAGAATCTCCTGTATTGTGATGAACTGTATAACACAGCCCTGAAGGTCTAAAGCCGTACCAATTAGTTAATTTTTTTTCCTAAAGAATAGTCATTATAATCATGTACGTATGTGTTACATCTTCTACTTTCATAACTTATGTATATTATACACGATTCTGAAGGTTCTAGTTCTATCTGAGTTTAATATTGATTAGACTAAACTAACTCACTATTCCTTTTTGTAATAAAAATCTCAAGAATTAGCTCTAATTTGACCAATTTTGGA